TATCTCTCTCTTTATATTTGTCTTGTAAGGGCAATTACTTAACCGAAAGAAAAGTTGACCATCAAAAAAATTATGATTTAGGCAACGTATAAACGACTGTCCAATCAACACCTCTCTCTTCCTATCTCTCTTAGTAGAGATATCAACTTCCTTTATTGGAACGGTACTCTTGCAGCAGCTCACGAATAGAAACCTGTTGCAACACTTTGCGACGATACTCCTCAAAAGTTCCGAATCGAGTTTATCTTTGCCGATTGTAATCGAGATGAATGGCAACATCTACACATCTCCAAGTGTTCATGTTCGTATTCAAATGCGTTGCTGCTTCCACATTATCAAAAGTTCCGAATCGAGTCTGTCTTTGCCGATTGTAATCGAGATGAATGGCAACATCCACACATCTCCAAGTGTTCATGTTCGTATTCAAATGCGCTGCTGCTTCCACAATATCTTCCGCCCTGTGAGAACTGTCAAGATAGGACAGGTGTGCAAGTGTCTTTTTAGGACCAATAGATTCAAGAGAGTCATAGATCGCAATGTTAAAATTAGAAGAACTTGGTTGTTCCAAGGGTCCTGTATAGACATGGAGATGGTCTCTCGACGGCGTGGGAGCGGACACAATACAACCGACAGGAGACGGAGTAGCCRTAGCGGCAGGCGAAGCAGAAACAACAACAAAAGTAGTGACAATCGGCGTTGACATAGTGGATGGGGGAGCATAATCCGGAAGACGTTGAAAAGTTGGAGGAGATGCTGCTGGAAGGGGGAGTCTACGAATCGGAGCGAAATGAGGAGCAGAAGAAGGAACCATCGGAGGAATCCTTTTTAAAAGGTGTTGTATTCGTGCATATCTGAAAAAAGGTTGGGGAATAGGCCCTTCTGTCGGACAATATGGCAAATCAAACGTCATCGTAGCGATCTCCTCATTAGAGAGAGCAATGAACTCGTCTTGCAAAAGGGATTGTAACATCCAAGAAGCCTCTAAATCTGAAACATTCAATGGGTTTGAAGGAAGAGTCTCAGGGGATTTTCGTTCCAACCGCATATCTGTGAGTTTGTTTTTTTCCCAGTCTAAAAACTTTTCCCATATATTTTCATCCTTTGCAACGCTCGCAGTTTGGACAAACATTTCAAAAAGCACCTCAGTCAAGACTTTTTGCAGGTCAACCTTCTTCGCATCGTCGAACCATTTGTCAAGGTAAGCGCGCGGATTCGGAGTGTCGATTGTGGGTGCACCCTTATCATGAGGCACCGCAATAACAGTTGAAGGATTTTGTGGTTAGGATGTGGTGCAAATATCTCTTTCGCGTTGACTGTGTTGAGATTGCGAACACGAATCGTGAACACATGCACGTCCAGGGAGCCGTCCACGAAACAGAAGAGGTGCAAGTTCATCGGTACAGATGTCATCCAGCGCTCTCAAAACCTGAGTTGTCGTTTCACTAATAACCGGTTGCCGTTCCTCTCTATTCGTAGCAAACGCACGCTCAAGCATTCCAGCTGAACACACATTATCAGTTGTGTTAATTGTTGAACTCGCATGCCCATGAACTGTAGTTGCCGCAACGGTGGATGATTTCTTTCTTTGTGCAGAGCGTTGGGATTGTGAACATGAATCACGAGCACGCACATCTCCAACAACTCCATGAGTGACAAATTCATCTTCATGATTGTGATGATTTCGGAGGGTCAGCTCACCAATTGGAGTTGAACCCACGAGATTCTTTTCTTGAGGAATACGATTACGCTTGGCTGTAGACTCAATCGTTTGAGAATCACTCGTATCGCTATCATCTTCGTCATCATCGAGCAGAGACTTAACGGCCAGACCCAATGAAAAATTAGGCACAGATTTGTCACGCCGATCATAATCATCGTCATAACAGTCAACATGCATTTTTTCAGCATCCTCGAGGGTGCTCGCTTG